AATCTCACCCTTCCTCTCATTGGAAGTTGTTTATTCAGGTCCTTTTACCATCTTTCAGCCATTTGTCAAGAAAGTTTTACAGTGGATCTCTTTCCAAATGAAATAGAATTGCATTTTTCAAACCCAAATAAACTGCTTCATAATCCTGTTTACTTAGCATCTGTACGGTGCCAAAAATACACATACTCATTTTTAAAATAAAAATATAGATGTCTCCTTTAATTTATTGCCTGAACCTCAAAACATAATTTTGTAGCGCTATAAGAAAATGGTGGTTGTGTTATTTTGATAAGAAAATAAATGTGATTTTTTTACAAAGAAATAGATTTACCAAACTAGACCTATGATTAAATATGCTTCTTAAGATTTGTCTGGAGACAGGAATCTAGAAATTGCAATGCAGCCCCTTTCTAATCCTTAATTGCTGTGGCTTATGCCATTTTATTATATTATTCAATCCCTGTTGCCTGAACCGGAGGAATGACTAAGGAAAAATGTACTGTGCACTAATGAGACGGTTCCATTCCATACTAGCTTGGTGTATGTGTTGGAACTTTAGAATAATAACATTGTCAGCTTATTTCTTGCCCTTTTCATCAGACACCTAAACATTAGTCTATGTGCAAAAGCCACAGATAGGCCTAATGTACAGGGTTTCTGAGTTGCACTGTTTTCTTCTACCATTTGATCTTACCTCAACCCTGGAAAAAAATAAGTGTAAAGCAAGCTTCTGCTTCTTGGCTTTTAATAAAGAGGCCAAGATTTAGTGATTTGATAAAAACATGGTAACTCTCCCTTCACCTTTATTTAGGTGACATTTATAGAGCAACTCTGATGACTAGGGAGTGTGTTACATGTGATGGAGGAAGAAAAGGGAGCGCTGCTATCATAAATGTTCATCTCATTACTTAACTTCGAAACAACAAAACAGATTACTCCTCTGTGTAGGTGCTTGAATGCATGGTCTTGAGCAGACACTTCAGCACTACTGGCAGGATGAAATTTCTCCTGGGATCATCTTTAAACTTATTTCCCCAAATAGGCTCAACATGGATATATCTCCAAAATTCTGACTTCTAAAAATGTTGATAGCTAAAATGCCTTTAGGAATTTAAGTTAAGCACTCATTGTTACAACTTCTGGTTGCTCTCCTTTTCAGCTGATGACTCGCTATGAAAATATTTATGTAAAAATGCTTCCATTTCTGCATTCAGAACTCTTAGATGTGTTTCCTTTGCTACCACATGACAGTGAGGAGAGTGAGGAGGTTATTTACACTCCAATCCTTCATTGCCTCATCTGTATAATGGGGATGACAATGTACATTATACAGTGATGGAACAAGTGGAACAAGTCAGACGCTTATTAAAAACTGAATTACTTTTTACAATTCAGTCTTTCATTTTGCTATTAAACAGAATTAGGAGTCATTCATCATTGAGAAGGCCCACTCCATAAGCTTCTGAAATGAATCACGAATTATACAGGGCACTGGCCCTTCGTGAAATAGACCCAGCACTTTTCATCTTGCATTATAACACTAATACAAAATTTAGTTTTCAAAACATTTTTAAAAGAGAAGCAGTATTTAAAATTTTGGTGAACATCTGAATCAGTTCTTTTAGAAAAATGATTTCAGAAAATTAACAGTAAGCTGCTATCATTTGATGGTATCTTTATTGAATAATAATGACGACATTGTTGACAATTCTGCACAAGGTATTTTTTTCCATAGACGTTAACAAGATATCTCTAGATCCAATCTGTTCCTTATTTTAGACTTTCTGCTGATGGATTTTCTCTCTCTAGCCCTGTTAATTTTCATGTGAACATGACATTTCATGTTTTCGCGTGAACATGAAATGACATAATGTGACAAGACTCTGCCCATAGAATCCCAACCTATCTCAACATTACTTAAAACAAGAATTTGAATATGTATACATATATACTAAAGACTAAGGTCAAAGTGGCACTTAGCACACTTGCATGCAACAATAGAAAGGAAAATGTACTTGCCCTAAGTAACAATCCTGAAATTTGAAATTTGAGAGGCCTGCAGGGCTGGATTCGTTGTCTTCATTATATCTTCTTACATCATCTTCATTATATCTTCATAATATTATGCAATCTTCATTGCTTCTTCATTACATATTCTTTCTTATATACTCTTAAATTTGAATATCTGTATGCATAATGTTCTAAAGGCAAATAATTTTCTTTATATAATTTTTGTCTCCGAATTTGCCCATTTCTACACTCAAAGTTCATTTAAAATAAAATGTCATCTATGACTGTAGATATTGTTGTATCAAATCTTAATGTTGATTGATTGACTGAAGTATAGAGTGAAAGCATGTATACCAGAAAGTGTTTCTGATGTTGAGGAAGAGATTTAGAAACAGCAAATAAATAGGATATGAAGTAAGCTGCAAGTAAAGTAGACAATCAGAGAGTATAAACATCAGTTCATGGAGACAGAGCTTCCAGGGCAGGAAGCAGAAAATACTTCAATTAAGGAAGGAATCAAGGAATATTTTCAAGGTTTACCCACAAAAATTGGATCCATTTAAATATGTATTTAAAAACATAATAAAATAGTGAAAAAAAACAGTATGTAAAAGAATGTAAAAAAAATTCACGCTGTCATCTGGTGGATGGAAATTTTAAGCAAAAATATTTGCATAACATGCTATATTTTTCAATAAAGGAAAAATCATTTGCTTATTTTTAGAAAAGGAATATCAACATAATTGGCCATAATTTGAAGGTGGCACATAAATGAGAAAACAAAAATAAAAGAGAGATAAAATTTAAAATGATGTCTACTGGAATCATTGATTCTGAAGATTTTATTCACTAGACATTTTATTGTAAAATCACAGTAGCATTTTTAATATTGTATTGTTCTTCAGGAATCACGATAATTCTTGAAAAACTCTAATTGTATTACTGAAATGAATACAGCTTTTATGGTGGCTAAAACTGTTTGTCTTCCAAAACCTATATGTCAGAACCCGTATTAAAAAACCGTGTCATTTTGATGTATCTTTCATACATGTGAAAAAATTAAATGAGGCTATTTAAAATGCATGACAGTTTAAGTGAGCACATGCTGTAAAAAGACTAACAATCATATAAATGTTAAGCAGAAGGAACAAACTACTAAATCCTTTAAATGGAACTTGAAAAGGAAGATTTTATGAACTTGGCGAAACAGTATGTACAATTTCAAAATGGGAAATAGGGATGTTTCAGTTTCTCAGATCATATTATCAAAAGGAAAACTGAAGGAAGGAAAAATTTTGGTTTCATGTTGACATCTAGGAAACATCTGTAACTCCAGCTAGAATATTAAAAGAGAATTGATGAATTGACTCATAGAAGAGAAGGTGATATCCAAGCGCCTGCCAAGGAGATAGTGATTGCAAGTATGTAACATTCACGCTGCAGAGTTCCAGAAAATATTCTGGAGGACCAAGTCACTAGAGGAGGAGAGATCAGAATATACATTCACAGTGACTCAAAGGAGTTAAACCTTCAACTCTGTTCTTATGCCAGTCTCGTGACACCCCCTGGAGTAGACTTGTATGACTTCCTGGAGAAGTAGTTCGGGAAATGCTGCTGCTTCTTGAAATGAAGGCAGAGAATAGCAGTGGGATGAGAGAGAGACTTTAACAAGGAAGATAAGTGAAAGCAAGTATAACAAATTGAGTTAGAAAATTTCTAACACTGTGTAGCTCCCCTAACTTTGAACTCCCCCAGGGAAGAAACTCCTAATTGATTATTTGATAACCTAGTTTGAATTCAATTTAGCTAGTAAATTCTAAGTAGTTATTATTTGCAATAATTATTGCTTTACCATGTGTTTGTAACAATAAATCTTCATATCTCCATAACACAGTGGACTTTGATGTCTACTTGTATCAAGTCCAATATGGTGGTTAACCCTCTTCTATTTTGTAGTTACACCACCTGGAGAATATTGTTCCTAAGATCTTTATGACTGGGGCCAGGATGAAAAAGGGAACGTGGGGGCTTATAATGATTTTAGTCCCATAGTGACACAAAGCACTGTGATCATAATTTATTTTTTCAGAACCATTTATATGAGAAAGAGTAGGGTGTGGGTACAATGACTATTAGATGGTTACAAACTCTCAACTCTGCAAATTGACCACCCAGTTCTACCATGCCCCAGCCAGGAACTTGTTTATTAATTACAATTCATTTTTTAATTTAAAAGGTAGTATCTTTTGCCAGGCTAGTATGTGCTGACATTGTGGCAGGACTAAGAATTCAGAAATGTGTATGTTATAGTTTCTGGTCTTCAGCTTATTCTAATTTAACTTCTGAGTTCACATTGGCTTTGAAATTTTTTCCCCCTCTTAATTTTATATTGCTTGGCATAAATCAGTGACCAGATAATGAAAGACTCCATGGCTTATTGACTTATAATCAACAAGATATTATGTTTCTGATGCAAACTTTTAATTTTAAATATTTCACTGAAGGCTTTTCAGAGCATCTCCTCTTTCTTTTTAACTAAAATGATTGTTGAGGACTCCGCTTTATATTGGCCATATGTGGGCCTCTCTAATATGCTCCACAAGTAACTACAAATTCATCTATTTCTCAGTATTACCTTGTGGTTTATTTCTGATGTTCACTGAAGCAGGTTTGTAAATTAATATTAATTTGAAATGCTCTATACAAAGTTTCATAGCATATCAGTTGAAAGCAATTATCCACAAAGAGTTTTTATATGAGTCAGTCTTGCAAATACATCTCATCTACTTTTTGAAAGAAAATAATTCTTCTTTAAAAAAAGTACATTTTCCTTAGAAATGCTGTGATGTCTGTTCTTATTAACTCACTAAATCGACACTTTGAACTGCCTCTACTCAAGGTACAACTCAGTGACTTTTTCTAGCACTTGGATTCTGAAAATTTTAATACATTTTTCATGATGTTTGGTTTCCTTCTGTTTCTCCCTCCAGAGTACACGGGTGGCCTTGGACCATCTGGAGTCTGTGCCTGAGAAACTGAGCCTACTAGAAGATTTCAAAGACTTGAGAGTGAGAAAAATTTGGCTTGTCTTTTTCAGTAGTTTTATCTGAGTGAGAGCCCTGACATCTTCCTGATGTGCAAAGAAAATTGTAGAGAGAGGAAAGACTTGGGAAACATTGGGGATTTTAACTTTCAGTCTTACCAGAGATTATTGACCTTTGTGTAGTTGGGATTTAAATGAAGCTTATTATTTAAGTTTTGGGAAAAATTAAGATTTTTGTGTTTGAGCCCCAGCTGTCTGTGCTTGGGACTTACCTTGGCTCTTTGGTCAGGGATCACTTCTGGTGGTGCTCATGAGACCATATGAGGTGTCAAAAATCCTCCCAGGTCTGACACAAACACAAGGCAAGCATCTAACTGCTCTACTCTCTCTCTAGCTAAAATCGAGATGCATAGGATATATCTCTGAAGCTCATGTGGTCCCCTGGAACTCTACCTATAATTTAGAGAAACCTGAGAATTAAAAGTGTTACATATAACATTGACAATAGATAACCAGTTTTAATTTGTGACTTATCTTCCTCAAAATTGCATTTGTTTTGGAAATTAGATAGTTTAGAGATCAGTCCTACACTATAATATGTGCATTCAGATAGTCATAGATTTTATATCATGCCATTAATTGATAAAGATTATATTTAATATCAAATAAATGAATTATATTTTTGAATTTTGCCTATAATTTTTTTGGTTTTTAAGTTTCTGATTCAGAGGAAATGCAAAGCAAAATAACACTGTCATCCAGGTATTTCAGATAAGATTCAGGCTAGAGAACATATTCACATATCTCCTAGAAATGCACATATTATTTTATTTTACTTTTTATGGGAGCCACACCCAGTAATGCTCAGTGGTTACCCATGACTCAGCATAACTCTTGGTGGTGCTCAGGGAACCATATTAGGTGCCAGGTATTGAACCTGGGATGATCAAATGCAACGCAAGTGTATTGCCTACTGTACTATCTCTCTGGCCTCTATAATAAACAATATTAGTATTTTCTAATCGTTTGACCTTGTGTGGATAAAAATGGAAAATATTTTGTCTTTAAAAACTCTTTGCCTTAGCTTTAAAATATAATTTAGGTTTTAAATATAATGTTTTATAGACTGATCATGTAATATTGACTTACTGAATAAACTAATATTATGCAGTTCTCAAGGTATGCACTTTTAACTTTGCTTTTTGTTAAGTGTAGATTGGTAATTCATAATATTTTTAGTGTAAACCAGAGTTGTTCTGATATTTCCAGGAATGTAAACTATAACCAACAGAACAAAACCTAGTGTTTCTACTATATTTTAGCGAAGTTTCACGTTTTTCTTATAACTTGATTATATATTTACATTCTAAATCCCTATTAATGGATTATGAACCCAGTGTCCAGGAAGATTCAATTTCTATTCACATTTAGATGACCCAATGTGAATATCCAGCTATCTATATTGTTCCTATCCTTTCTTATTTTTTCTCTGTAGCTAATGGCATTTGTTACTGAATATCAAAAGCTTTCCTTATGTAAAAAATAAAAGATTAACCTTTAATCATGGATCACTTTAACCTTTCTCTCTTATGTTGACCAAAATAGTCATATGTACAAGTCTACTATGACAGAAAGTTTTTTAAATTATTATTTTTTATAATATGGGCTAATGCTTATCTACATAAGTCTAAGTTATATCTACACATATTCTTATATCTACATCTTTGGGAGAATAGCTTGAAAATCCAGAATTATTCTTTTCAATACTAATCATTAATACTACACTAGCATGTGACATGGACCAAATTAAAGACCAACGGGATGACAAGTGACAAGTAACTAATCGTTAAATTGAAATGTTTAGCTTTCAAGCAGAAAGAAGGTCACTAACCAGTAGCAGCCAAGTACCTTATATAGTAATTACAGTGGTGGCTTATGTAATTATGTATGCAACGAAAGTAGTAGTTTGTAATACAAATAGAATCTAAGTTTTGTATGTTTTTCTCAATTCCCAATGACATCCTATAGACGGGCATTATTTTCATCCATCCAAATAAGCAATTTAGGACCGTGTTTTTATTTGTAAGGTAATATCTGAGGTGATCACTTTTCCTTTAAGGTTGAGAATTTGAGATTACCCTATAATGTTCTCTAAATACCACTTACTTATAATCTATACAGACACACATTGATACTTCCTTAGTTTAATGTTAGGTTCTGATTTTTCATTCATTTACTAGTCTTACTGAATTTTCACTTAGTTATCACTTAATATTCTATGTCTTTGCAGGATTCCAGCAGTTTTTCTGAAAGAACAGATGGGAGATACACTAAGTACAGAGTTCCCAGACAGTCATTTCAGCAGCAGCAAGACGGCACCAAGTACAGATGCAAAAATTTCAAAGTAATGTCCTTCATATACCTTTTTCTCCTTTGAGCGTTATCTGCTTTTCAGGTTACAGCCCTTCTAAAGAAGCCTCTGGGGGCCTTATGTAACAATATCTATAAAAGACAAAACTTGCCTTGACACATAAGATAGATTTTCAATTTTATGGAGTACAGAATAAAAATCCAAGCATTGACTTGTAACTTCTCATCTGGAATCGAATCCTTAAGTTTGTGTTGTTTAATATGCTATTGTTTTCCCATGGAAAGTGACTTTCCTTGAGAAATCCTGCCATAGGAAATTCCAGGAAATGCCTGTTCTCATGGTTGGTCTAAATCTTAGGGTGGATATTTTCTTTCGTCTACATGAAAGCATAGCTTTTCTTAGCTCTGAAGTCCCCAGTAGGTCAGGTAGCTAACATATAGTGGTACTTTGTAAATAGTAGCTTTGATATTTATAGTCAATCTTTTTCTGAGGATGTGAAGTCCATAATAATACTGCAGCTTAAGGTTCATAAATGTAGAATCAACACAGGAGGCTGGGAATATCTGATTATATTAGCAAAAGCTTCCTGTTGTGCAGACTGTTCCTCAGAGTCTGCACAATATTCATCCCTATGGAGATAATTTTTTATATTATCTTTTTATTTATTTTGTCTTTTTTAAAATTATATGTTTCTTTATTTTTTATTAGTGAATCACCATAAAGTATAGTTAAAGACTTTTCTAGTTACAGACTTACAAACTTTAGTTCTTGTGTTTCAGTCATACAATGATCGAGTACCCTTCCCTGCACCAGTGCCCATTTTCCACCACCAATGGTCCCAGTTTCCCTCCCACCACCCCCACCCCATCCCCTCCACCCCGCCCCTTCTCTGTGGCAGGGCATTCCCTTTCTCTCTCTCTCTCTCTCTCTCTCTCCTTTTGGGTGTTGTGATTTGCAATAGATGTATTAAGTGGCCATCATGTTTGGTCTATAGTCTACTTTCAGACCGCATCTCCCATCCCAAGCGGGCCCCCCTAGCACCCTTTACTTGGTGGTCCCTTCTCTATCTGAGCTGCCTTTTTCCCCAATATGTGAGGTCGGCTTCTAAGCTGTGGAGTAATCCTCCTGGTACTTATCTATACTGTTCTTGGGTGTTAGTCTCCCATTCTGTTACTATATATTCCACAAATGAGTGACATCTTTCTATGTTTGTCCCTCTCATTCTGACTCATTTCACTTAACATGACACTTTCCCTGATGAACCACCTGTATGCAAATTTCATTGTCTTCATCTTTTCTAACAGCTGTACAGTATTCCACTGTGTAGATGTGCCAAAAGTTTTTTTAACCAGTCATCTGTTCTCAGGCACTCAGCCTTTTTTCCAGATTTTGGTATCATAAACAGTGCTGCAATGAACATATAAGTGCAGATGTCATTTCTACTATACTTTTTTGCATCTCCAGGATATATTCCCAGAAGTGGCATTTCTGAGTCAAATGGGAGCTCAATTTCTAATTTTTTGAGAAGCATCGACATTGTTTTCCAAAAGGACTGAACCAATCAGAATCCCCACCAGCAGTGAAGGAGAATCCCTTTCTCCCCACATCTGCGCCAACACTGGTTGCTTTTGTTCTTTTGGATGTGGGCCAGTCTTTGTGATGTGAGATTATATCTCATTGCTGTTTTGATCTGCATCTTTCTGATGATTAGTGATGAAGAGCATAAAATTATATATTTCCTTTTTTTTCTTTTTTTTTAGTGAACTCCATGTGATACAGTTGTTGACCTTACAAATTTTTGTACTTGGGTTTCAGTTATACAATGATTGAGTACCCATCCCTCCACTGGTGCCCATTCCCCACCTCCAATGCTCCCAGCATCCCTCCCATCTCCCCACCCCACATCCCACCCTACCCCTGTGGCAGGGCATTCCCTTTTGTTTTCTCTTTGGGGTGTGTGGTTTGCAAATGAGGCATTGAGTGGCTATCATGTTCAGTCTATAGTCTATTTTCAATATGCATCTCTCATCCCAGGAGGGTCCTCCCAACACCCTTTACTTGGTGCTCCCCTCTCTATCTGAGCTGCCTTCTCCCTCAGCATGTGCGGCTGGCCTCTAAGCCATGGAGTGATCCTCCTGGTTCTTATCTCGGCCATTCTTGGGTGTTAGTCTCCAAATTTGTTACTTTATATACCCCAGATGAATGCAATCTTTCTATGTCTGTCCCTCTCTTTCTGACTCATTTCACTTAGCGTGATACTTTCCATGTAGTACCACTTGTATGTAAATTTCATGACTTCATCTTTTCTAACAGCTGCTTAGTACACCATTGTATAGATGTACCAAAATTTCTTTAACCAGTCATCTGTTCTCGGGCACTAGGATTTTTTCCAGATTTTGGCTATTGTGGATAGTGCAGCAGTGAACATAGAAGTGCAAATGTCATTTCGACTGTACTTTTTTGCCTTGACGGGGTATATTCCCAGTAATGGTATTGCTGGGTCAAATGTGAGCTCAATTTCTAATTTTTTGAAGAATCGTCCATACTGTTTTTCAAAAGGGCTGGACCAGTCGGCATCCCCACCAGCAGTGAAGGAGGGTCCCTTTCTCGCCACATCCACGCTAACACTGATTACTTTTGTTCTTTTGGATGTGGGCCAGTCTCTGTGGTGTGAGATGATATCTCATTGTTGTTGTTTTGATCTGCATCTTTCTGATGATTAGTGATGTAGAGCATTTTCTCATGTGCTTTTAGCCATTCAGATTTCTTCTTTGGGAAAGTTTCTGTTCATTTCATCACCCCATATTTTGATGGGGTTAGATGTTTTCTTCTTGTAGATTTCAACCAGTGCTTTGTATGTCCTTGATATCAACCCTTTATCAGATGAGTATTGGGTAAATATCCTTTCACATTCTGTAGATTATCTTTGTATTCTGCTTATTGTATCTTTTGAGGTGCAGAAGCTTCTTAATTTAAGATAGTCCCATTTGTTTATCTCTGTTTCCACTTGTTTGGTCAGTGGAGTGCCGTCTTTTAAGATATCATTAGCCTCAATATCCTGGAGGGTTTTGCCAACCTTGTCTTCAATGTGTCTTATGGATTTTGGCCTGATGTTGAGACCTTTAATCCATTTTGATCTGACTTTTATGCATGGTGTTAGGTCAAGGTCTAAGCCCATTTTTTGCAGGTGGTTGTACAGTTATGCCAGCACCATTTGTTGAAGAGGCTTTCCTTGTTCCACTTCACATTTCTTGCTCCCTTATCAAAGATTAGATGTTCATACATTTGGGGTTGTGTGTACTAATATTCCAACCTGTTCCATTGGTCTGCAGCCCTGGCTTTGTTCCAATACCATGCTGTTTTAATTATAACCACTTTGTAGTAGAGTTTGAGGTTGGGGAGGGTAATGCCTCCCCATGTCTTCTTCCCAAGAACTCCTTTAGCTATTCATGGTTGTTTGTTGTTCCATATGAATTTCAGGAGTGCTTGATCTATTTCTTTGAAGAATTTCATGTATATCCTTATAGGAATCACGTTGAATCTGTATAATGCTTTCGGGAGTATTGCCATTTTGACAATGTTGGTTCTTCCTATCCATGAGCAGGGGATGTGTTTCCATTTCCTTGTGTCCTCTTTTATTTCATAGAGTAGCGTTTTGTAGTTTTCATTGTAGAGATCCTTTACATCTTTAGTTAGGCTGATTCCGAGGTATTTGATTTTCTGGGGCACAATTGTGACTGGGATTATTTTTTTCATGTCACTTTCCTCTCTCTCATTATTTGAATATAGGAAAGCCATGGATTTTTGGGCGTTGATTTTATAGCCTGTGACTTTACTGTACAAGGCTATTGTTTCTAGTATATAGTTCTTTATTTTTTTTTAAATTGGGCTGGAGCGATAGCACACAGCAGATAGGGCATTTGCCTTGCACACAGACAACCGGGCTGACCCAATTTTGATTCCTCCACCTTCAATTCCTCCGCCCCTCTCAGAGAACCCAGCAAGCTACTGAGAGTATCTTGCCCACACCACAAAGACTGACAAGGTAACCCGTTTCATATTCGATATGCCAAACACAGTAGCAAGTCTCACAGTGTTACTGGGCCCACTCAAGCAAATCGACAAACAACGGGAGGACAGTGACAGTGACAGTTTAAAAAAATTTAGGCACTGTAATTTACAGTGCTATTACTGATAGGATTTCTTGCATACAATGTTCCAGCTACATCCCCTACACCAGAGTATTCCCTCTGATCCGCCACTCTCTGCCTCACCCTCCACCATGGTAAGCTCAGTTCTATAGACCAGTTTTGTTGGTGCTTTTGAACCCATTTGACCCTAAAAAGCTATTAACCTGAAGGACTATTTCTCATCTTTGGCTTCATTTACATTGGGACTGGATCATTTTGCTGTGGAGGTGGTGCTATGTATTGTGAATTATTTAGTGACATCCCTGGAGTCTATTCACTAATTAACATAGCATTTTCCCCCCATCCTAAGTTAGGACATCTGAAAATGTCTTGCTGACTCTCCCCCGAGAGGGGAAGTTGCCCCCCCCCACAATGAGAACACTCACATGTAGATAATTCATCTCTATTTGAGTGATATGTCAGGTTATGGGAGGATAGGGATGGGAAAGAGAAAAACTGAGAGCTCTTCTGACTTGTTCTTTGACTTGTTTATAATTTTTTTTTTTTTTTTGCTTTTTGGGTCACACCTGGCAATGCACAGGGGTGGTTACTCCTGACTCATGCACTTAGGAATTGCTCCTGGCAGTGCTCGGGGGACCACATGGGATGCTGGGAATCGAACCCGGGTCAGCTGCGTGCAAGGGCCGTACCTGCTGTGCTATTGCTCCAACCCCTGTTTATAATCTTTAAACTTTAAGATGTATGAATATTCATTGCACTGGGTATATTCACTTATTAAAGTCAAATTTAATTGTTTCTAGTAAGCTTCTTTCCTCCTCTGAATGTACTTGAATAGAATGCTCATTGGCAATAAAGATACTCTAATTTCCACAGTTCCTCCAC